ACACCACACCACACCACACCACACCTTGCGTAACATCTTGCGGCCGTAGAAGTATATCTTGTCACCACACCACACCACACACACACGACACCACACCACACCACACCACACCTTGCGTAACATCTTGCGGCCGTAGAAGTATATCTTGTCACCACACCACACCACACCACACCACACCACACCACACCTTGCGTAACATCTTGCGACCGTAGAAGTATATCTTGTCCCGCTTCCTGAAGCGTGGACGTGTGCCCACGCCAACGAAGTCTTTGACGTCATCAACTGCAAACAAAATAATAAGATGCTGAAGTGGATAATGATAATTGCAATAGCAGGACAATTTAATGGGAGTAGGTAATCAATAATATTTGAAGTAAGAGGAAAATTTGTTAAGTGTAAATTATCACTGATAATTTGATTAGAAGGCAGATGAGGGTAGTTAATAGCATAGGTGGAAATTTACTATAGCATATTACTACCTATGTTAACCAAGAAGCATTGATGTGAAAAATTTCTTGCTTTAAGGTATATCTAAGAATTGCAGGATAAATGAGCATTAAATAACAAGAATAAATAAGCTCAGATCCACACATCAACAGACATATAGGTATGTACTATACATAGGAAAGAAGTACGGTATTATTTACTATATGATATTGTTTAGTAACAATTAGGCTATGTAGGATTTAGAGTATAAATCTTCAATATTTTGTGATCACTGTGATGGCTGCTACATACCTTTACTTCTTATTTCTCTTTTAATTTCTGCAGTAATTTCTTCTGGAGAAGAAACTCGCAGCCTGCAGACGTAGAGCACCACGAGCGCCACCAGAGCAATCACAGCCAGGGGGAAGGCAACCTTACAAATGGAGAAAAATATATCAGACAAATGAAACCATTGACATTCCATTTAACAGACTCAAATTTCAAAGCAAGCTAACTATTCTCATCACCATTCACCAAAATATTGCCAAGAATTTTTTAGCAATTTGCTTAGGTGGTTTGGAAGAAACTCAAGTTTTGAAGACTGATTTGCTCAAGTGGAAATTTTGAAAAGATCTGCAAAACTTGAAAATAAATTGGATGTCATAGGGTATTTGTCTCTGAATGTATACCTATAAATTATATCACCTGACATAATTGTACCATCTTGTACACAGAATTAGACTTTATACTAGAGTTAAGATTTTATTACAAGCACAAACTGCATTTAGTACCTATATTGTAGTTAAGATGACAAAATTCACAACCATTTAGCATTAATGTAAATGAAGAGTACAATGGTTTACTGGTGCATTGTCCATTAAACTATCTACAGCTAAACTCAAATTTATAAAATTTTAATGATCATAATTGGGAAAATGGAGCTTTGAATAAAATTTTACTGCTCTGACATCATATATTTTGGTTGAAACTTGTGGCACAATCTTGCATTTTTGCATTAATTTACTTAGGGTGTAATTTGCCTACATAGAAAAATTTAATTATTGCAAAAATTACAGGAACACATTGCACATGGCTGAAAATTTTAAACTAAATTTTGTGCATGATTGATATGCCAGTTAATTATATTAGGAGCACAGCAGTTTGGTGAATGAACAAAAGTTATTCCCATGAAAACAGAGGAGAGACCTTAAGTAGAAAGATGCTCCAAAAGACTTGCTCTAAATAATTTTTTTTACTGTTCCATGGGGCAAAATTAGTTCTAAATGTGTGTGAACTGCTGCACATGTACTATATTCGAATGCAAATGTACCTACCTACTGCAGTTGTGGTTTTTCAAATCAAGTACCTACAGTACGTACATATATGTCATCCTTCATAGACCTAGTAAATAGTGTATGCCACTTAATTTTTGTTAATGATCAGTAAAGTTATTCTATTTGAACAGGATATCCAATTTGGAACTTCCATAAATTCGTTATTGCTACACCCATATAAAAAATTTTCAAAATTAAAGAAATAATAGCCTTTTTCATATTAAATGGCAATTACTGTAAAGTTAAAATGAAAATATTCTTTGCTAATCAACTTGCCTTGCACACAACTTGACACAAACTAAAAAAGTGACCTCCAAATTGATGAAATTTATTTTCTTGTCATAAGTAAGGCCTTTTGAAAAATTGATACAGTACCTATAGGTACATACCTAGTAAATTTTGATGTAATATTCACATTATAGAAGTACCATCAAATGGGGTAATAAGGGACAGGCAGGATAAATTGAGACAGTTGTGGCGTAAAGTTCAACATTTTTACTCTCTATGTAGCAAAAAGCAAATAAAGAAATCATACATTTACTACCTCTTACATATCCCTGAAAAAAGGTGTGAAAAATGAGAGTTTGGAAAAGTACCTTGGCTAAGGTCTGTAGCAAAGATTTTTCTGTATTAAAAAATTTTACTTATAGTATAAAAGTTGCACTCAGGTGTGATTAAAAATGTGATTGATGGAATTTGTGTAGGTATTTCATTCCATAAAAAATGATGGCCATTTTCACAAGATGGGTAATAAGGGAAAACCCCAAGAAACCCAGTTACAGTATAACCTCAATTAGCAATGGCTCCAGTTAACAAAAAAATCAATTAACAACAAAAAATTTTGATTACATTTACCTTGCTCTTGCTCAGCAAAAAAAGTTTCACTTAATGAGAAATTAATGCATCATCAGTCATCACAAATTGTGCATAGAATGTCATAGATAGAATTGTGCACCAGGCAACATAGAATGAAAAGTAATTAACCTTATGCAAAAAATATGATTTATTTCTGCAAAAAATATGATGGTTGCAACTAAAATATTCCTTTTTATTTCAGGTAGTTAGGCGTGTTTTTATGATCTTTTTTTGTTATGGTGAATTTACTTGACCCAATTAAAATGGTGTTGAATTACAAGCCATCCTGTAAGCTTACAGATACAGAAAAAATGCTACATGGCTTAGCCATGTAGCATTTCTTCTGTAATGTGTCATTTCTGTAGCATTTCTTCTGTAATTTGTCATTTCTGTAGCATTTCTTCTTCCCCTGCAAGCTTCATATCAGCAGCCATGATGGCTGCTGACATAAGAAGCTTGCAGGGGACAAGGTTGTTGTTGATGCTCAATGGCATGTACAAGGATAGTACAGTAATTTCACATTGGTAATATATCATATCATATCAATAAAGGAATTTCAAGTAAAAATCACAGAAAATGTCATATATTTTACATCTACATCATCTACAAAGGAAAAGAAGGACTTCAAAGTACTGTTAGTAATGGATGAGAACACTCTGCAAGCTTCAAATGTTTTAAAATTATGTTTTAAAATTATGTTTTAAAATTATGTTTTATTTCAAGTGTCCGGGGTTGCCCCATTAGCAGGGGTAATTTGAGATGCTTTCATTTTGCATCTGGCACCTTACAAATAGCATATGGAATTTTTTGGAGATGGCATACAATAGCCCTTGCCAAGAGCTTTAAAATGAGCCCAAACTTGTTTATGAAATGTTACATGGTAAGAAGTTATTGACAAGAAATGCTCAAAATCGTCTCTTATTATCCCATTTGACAGTATGCATACATATATAAACTTCTTTTACAGTTGTCAACACATGTACGCAATTGTGCCGTAAGACTCCAAATATGTAAAAAAGTTGTCACTTTGCAACTGCTAGATTTCATTCATGTGTATGAAAATTCCAGTCCAGATCTCTAGAAATGGCTAACTTTGTCCAGAAAGCCAAATTGCAAAATCACGCAGAAAACACATGTGATGACACCAAAAAATGCAATTACAGCCATTTTGATGGATTTTCATATTTTTTCAATGAGAAAAAGGCACATTTCTTACAGCTATTGATGAAAATCCCACATAACATGATCATTTTTAACAGCAATTTTTGCAAAATTCTTCTTTAGTATCTAGAATGGCAAAAATGTACTCTTCTATTTCTATCATAGATAGGTAAAACTTTTATTTCAATGCATGACTATGAAAGAAGTCTACTCATCTGTCATCTGGCTTGAAAGTTAAAATATATCTAAGTAACTTCCCAGCAGTGACTAGGCTAGTCTGTCCCTAGAGCTTTCATTCTATTTTTGGAGCCTCGACATTCCTGCCAGATGAATTATCTCTTATCTCATTATTAACAAAAGTGCACAATGGGGCCAGTGCCACAAATTTCCAAATATAGGAAAAGTAGATCATATTAGAGCCACAAGATTTGAGTAATAAATCAGAGAATTTTCAACTTGTACTCTCTGAGTCTGAGCAATTATTTTATTGTAATTTTGGAATCAAGAGCTCATTGAAATTGTGAATGGTAGTTTAGTACTTTAGTTTTTGAGTAAAATTTTCAATGTATGATAATGCTGGTATGGTATGAGTGGTATCCATGGACCATGGTACTACCTACTTTGTTGGTTGACTCATAGTTTAATAGGTAGGCCTAGTTATACTTTATAGGACTCAAAATAAAAAAATAATGAGAGGATGAGACAATACTGAACACTCAAGACTCAACACTAACAGAAAGAAGATATTTTATAAGAAAATTTTTAGGGAATTTAGAGAGCATTATATGTATTACCTTATTAATTTACAGAAACTTACCGGATATTCGGCCAGATAAAACTCGAGATGTTCTCTGGAGCTGGCCACAAGGGCAAAATTCGATATTAAGAGCCATAAGTGGTGAAAATATTCCATTTCTTTTGATTACTATACTAAAAGCTTCTCATAAATTACTAGATAAAAATATTACGTATTAATCTAATGACCAGGATAGCGATAGCATAACGGAAAAGACAATATTTGAAGATACTTTTAATTTAGTAGACGACGGCCGTGAGCACATGCACATCCACCCTACACCATTCGTCTGATCTAACTGCGGCCGCGGGGTGCTTTGCTAAATACTAAACAGCTGATAACTGCACTTGAATTGCGTCGTACCGTTAATTCCAACTTGATAAGGATCCGTTCCACTCTACTAAATCTCAACGCTTATTAAATAATATCCCGATAATTGGGATTGTATTGAGTGACTTAATTTTCGAAAATTCTTATTTTATTCCATCTGGTCCCTACGCGACATCGTTCCATGGCATGAAATATTTTAGAACATGGAACACATATATAGTAAAGATTTGGTGATTAAGATTTTGATAGCAGACTTGAACAAATAAGCGTGATATCATAATGTCCTAAGACGACATAGTTACTCGGGTAAACATGATGGCCAGTGAGACTACTAGACGCCGAAGGTTCAACTTATCAGTAGGCTACCTGTTTTCTTAACACTCACAAGAGGATGATTGGTGATTATCTTAATAAAATTTTACATCTAGGATATAATTCTTTTTGTTACATCTAAAGCGACTCTAGCTGGGGAATAATAGTAGAGTCAACTTAATTTGTAACATTGAAATAAATCGATACAGTGGTTACATGATTTATGTGCCAGGAATATAACAACATGAGCGAGTGAATACCGTAGCAGCGGACAGCGAGAGGAAGTTTTTGTTTCACTCTGTCTAACTCGACTGGTACCAATACTATTACTCACGGTTGAACTGATTAGTTCAATTACGGAATTTGCTTTTAAATATTGGACAGCGTTTAGCCGATATTTAGTACTTTGCGCTCGATGTTGTCACTTAAGTTAACGCCCCACCACGAGCTTACGTCCAGAGAAGGCAAGGTTAGAGAAATAGAACCTATAGAACCTATAGAACCTATAGAAGCTCCGACTTTAGAAATCACCTGCAGTAGTTCAACCATGTTACTGCTGGCGATACCTGAGGTCTGAGCTTTTATAGGCTGTTTATCATAACGTCACTGGACGTTAGCTAGGTGGGACGTTAGCTTACGTGACAACATCTGAAGCATAATATAATTCCGGTAATACGTCATCCAATATACATGGGAAAATATAATGTAAATATTACAATAATGTATTGCCATGCAAAATAGTTGAGAGTATTGGTGTGCATCGATAACATGTATAGTTTGATAATAAAATATCGTGCGAAACACAAGTTCGAGCGAAATATATGGGTTCTAAAATCAAAGTTCGTCTGATATGAGAATGTCTCATAATTTTAGATAAGATTTCAGATAAGGACCTTGTACTTAGGGTCCGTAGTTGTGGACATAACAACTTGCCAGCACCAACCGGAATTAACTGCACTTGAATTAGTCAGTTCCCCTCTACATAAGTAGATATATACAACCATTATCTACAGTAGCACGAAAAACATATAGGGTACAAGGTACTTCTACTTCCACAACTACTACTACTACTACTTGACTATCTACTACTATTTCTACTACTTCTACTACTCTACTACTACTATTATGCTTCTAATAACCCACACGATGAACCCATGTCACCTACTATTAATAATACTTCAAATAACCTATATACATATAGGGCACAAAGGCTACAGACAATCGTATTTTTGATGACGTCAATTTTTTTAAATCCAGTGTGTGTTTTTTTTTTAAATCACACACCGGATATGAAATTTCATGCATATTCATCTAATCTGTATAACTGTTATATCGTTGCTTGTAGGGACCTAAGTGTATGAAAAAAACAATCTGTTTTAAGGAATGCAATTCAAATTTACTTTTAGAAGTATAGTCGACAATAATTTCTTGCTGAAATATTTTCACCTAAATTCTTGCGTTTTCATTCTTTCATACAGCGAATGTATAGTGTTAGACATTTTGCGAGTTTTATTTTGTAATATATTATAACTTGACTTTACCTTGGCAACACAGTTATAGGAAGTTAACGTCGCGCACAGAATTTTATCGTTACTCATTATCGTTCGGCTGATCCCCACTGCACGTTAGTTTAAGCTCTAATAGTTCCTTTTATTATCTGAATAATTGTTATATTGTATTATTATTTCTTTATTCATTTTAACAAAGATAATTTATTAGATTTACCCTTCTAGGTTCCTTTTATTATCTGAATAATTATTAGATTGAATTATTATTTCTTTATTCATTTTCAACGACGATCATTTATTAGATTTACTCTTCAACAGATACGCACGTTGTCAAGGGTATTATTTACACTTTTTTCCCATAGCATAATATTTATTTTCAAAGCCCACCTTGTTGTCGATTTACACTTAAAGTCTCGGTTCCAGTTTTTCATTTTCAATCCTGTTGTATCGCTTATGGGGCAGGGTAGCCCAGGGGTTAAAGTTCAGAGTACCCGGATTGGCGCAGAGGCGCGGGTTCGATCCCAGCTCTGTGCGCCAGTTTCTGGTCAGAATCGGCGAGAAGGCCGGGCGGTTAAGCACAGCAGAATTGTAGCAGTGAGTTGCGAGTTCGAGACCGCAAAATGCTGTGAATGTTCTGCAATGTTATGAATCGGAGACAGGCCTACACTGCCTAATAAACGCTGAAACCGCTACTACTACTACTACTACTACTACTACTACTATTGCTGTCTGAGTAATGACCGGCTCTTACCCCCACAAATGAACGCCTCAAAGACCCTCGCATCGAGATTGAGATTTGTGGCAGTGCCTAAAATATTAACTTTTTAAAATTCGTCCTGATTAAGTTTATTGATAAGTGTATATCATATTTATAATCATGAAAATTCAATAATTATTTCATCCAGAGATCTTTTCCGAATTCATAACAAGGAAATCAAATTCACGAACACGTCGGGACAAGAATCCTGTTTTCTACTAGGACAAGAATAGTGTTCCTATTAAAGCTACAAACTCTCCTATATTGGTTCCTGAGCAAAGTTCCTGTAAGGGGCCTCCCACTTGTTGGGTGCCGGACATGAATTACATTGTCCCTTGTGGCAACGTGCCTGAATTCCTGAATTGGTCGGTATTGGTGGATTAATATTCAATTAAGCTGGATTGTCGATGGTATAATTTGATAGAGAGATTTCTTCTGTCTAATCTTAAACTGCCCGAAATGATTTATAATGCCAAATCAGTATCAGATTTAAAAAGATTTTAGTGATTATTGCAGATAAATTGATTATGAGGCATATATACCTAGTAAATATCATTGGTGGACATATAATAAAAATGATTCGTGAATTTAGATGCAGAATCTGTGTACGTTAATATGGGTGTAATGGCGAGCACATTTACGACAGAAAAAGGCGAAAGCTATCACCGATGAGAGATTTTTGAAGTATGCATATAAAAAATAAATGCATTCTGAATTGAATGGCTAATTATTAAATTTCCGGTTGCAGTAAAATATGTAGTGATGAAACATTTCAATGCCGATATTCCTATGAACGGTTATTTGTAACTCACAAATTTGATGGTCTATCCGTTAGCACCTCCAGATAATGATTGATAACTAAACAATTTTCATGTATGATTCCTTCAACATACAAATATATAAACGTGCCTTTTTTAACTTTAAATGCCAGTTTATGATATACTGTCACCATCACTCTATAAAAATGTACTTAATGGACACTAATTTTTTATCTAAACGGGAACGAGCGGAAGATCCTTTTTCACTGCTCAATATTGGGCCAGCTTAACATATTGTTGGTGTCGGTGAAAGAATTTTACATAGTTTAACTATATATATCCAAATATTTAAAGAAACAGTTAAATGAATACATGAATATATTATATCAAAATTGTTTCAAGTGACATACATGAATATATGTTACTTAACAATGTGATGGTGCCACTACCCTCTAAAGAGGCAAGCGGTGTGACGGGGCCGCATTCCAGCAAGGATGATAATATAGATGATAATATAGATGATAGTATAGATGATAACAATAGATATAGATGATATAGATGATAATATAGATGACGTGGACGTCAGCTATGGAAAGATCGGGTTCCAAAGGCCGGATCCCTTGTGAATCAAGTCACGAAAAGTTCAAGAATCGGCAACAGGCCATGGGCCTATTTCTTCAGTGCCGACACTTCTATTATATTCTATGAACAAGAATCGGCAACAGGCCATGGGCCTATTTCTTCAGTGCCGACACTTCTATTCTATTCTATTCTATAATATAGATGATAATAATTCAGGTGCCAATGTTACCAAGTGACCCAGAAGCAAGAGAGACAGGGCAGCGCACCCTAAAGGTCATCAGAATGCACAGCAAACAACGTCGCTGCAAATTGCAATGCATCTGCATATTTAGCGGTCAACCTCCTCAGTCTGCGAGCAGGCGTGGTGCGGGGAGGCTGTGTGGTGTCATGGACTCAGTGTTGGGTTCACAGCTGTAGAAATCCTCGGTCCCGAGGGTTGATGGCGATTCTAGAATTGCGTGTTGAAATTTAGAATGTATTCTTAGAGAATGGAAAGAAATAACCGTGCTGTGCATGAAAATATGTACAAGTATCAGGGGCGAGACCGTGTGAGGGCAAACAGATGCAAAATTATTTACCGTTACCTGTGAATTGTGAGTGAAGGTTAAGTTTTATATGTTTGTGCTATTTCAGTCCATGTTTTTGTCCAAGTTTCGGCGAGTCTTTAGTCAACCATCATTAACGAGTGTTTAAAATCGTAAATTTTAGGCACTGTCGTCCTGCTTATCAATCTTGCATAATTATGAATAAAATTTAGTCGTCATTTTCTGAATATTGTGTTTAGTCGTCATTTTCTGAAAATTGTGTAAGTGTTACCTCAATTATGTTAATCGGTTGCAATATCAGAAGTACAATAGAAAGACCGATTACCTTTAATTAAACCGGCAGCGCCAGGATTTCTAGGCAATTGAGAATGCAGCGTCCGGAATCTTCACAGCGTTTTTGCGACTGCGCACAGGTAGAATTTCTTACCTCTTCTTAGTCTGCTACTTTAACGGGCTCTACAAGCCCAGGTCCTGGAAAAAAACGCTTTGC